AAAAGATGTATTGCTATGGGAAACTCTGCTGTTAGGGACCTCTCCAAAGTACTGAAGAGCAATGGTGTCTCTCTGGAGATTAAGGTGTGTCTGATACAGGCCATGGTCTTTGCAATATGCATCAGAGAGTTGGACAATGACTAGGGAGGATAGAAGGAGAATTGATGCCTTTGAGCTGTAGTGCTAAAGAAGAGTATTGAATGTACCATGGACTACTAAGAAAACATACAGGTTCATCCTAGAGAGGATTAAATCAGGGGCTCCTTGGAAGCAAGGATTCTGAGGCTTCATCTGACATACTTTGGACATGTTGTAAGGATGGAGAGGTCCTTGGAGAGGGACATCATGCTTGGGAGGGTGGAGGGATGGTGCAGGAGGGGAAGGCCCTCTATGAGGTGGATTAATTCAGTGACTAGGGTAATCGGGATGGGCGTATTGGAACAGTGTGATTGGCACAGGATAGAGCAGAGTTTAGGGCTATTGTACATAGGGTCACTAGGAGTCGCAAATGACTTGATGACACATAACAGCAACAACAACAACAATAACATTTCTGAATCATCAGGGAGCTACATATAAAGTTGTATTCAGTCACTAGTTAAGACAAACTGATGGTCTATAAGCTTATTTCTCTTACCTTTCTCTCCAACAAAAGGCAAAGACCACGTGAATACATCCATAAAGTTTGGAAGCCAATAAGGGTGTGGAGAACAATTAAATTGCCTGATGTTCATGACATTGTTTTCATATTTCAGCACAGCAGCTAAAAAAAAACAGAAGAAAATGTGGTACAGAGGAATATGACACAGAAATCAATATTTTTAGTACAGCTCTCTGCTTAAAATTTAGGAAACCCCTATTTGTCAACTGGGCCTAGGTACTTAAGTACAGATGGAAAACAAATATAAGCATTTTATTATAGTTCATCCTCCTAAGAATTACCCTAAGAAACAAAGTTACCTGAAAAGCTCATATAATAAAAGTATAAAGCTAACTCAACTCTGTTCTTCAAAGGGTCACTGCACAGTAAATTGTATAGTAACAATGAGTTTGATAGGAGAAAATTTCCTTCTATAGGTCAAATAGTCATAATTATAACTATCTTTTGAGGGGAAAAAAAATCAATCAAAACTGAACACAATCTGTTTTATTAATCATTAACCAGAATCAAAGCTTTTAGTTCCAGGGAGTGTATAACATAGTAGCTATCAATTCATATTGGGGGATACAAATGGTTAACTTGGAGCAATTTATAATGAATATCCAAAAGTCTGTTAAGGCATCTTTGCATGCACTAGAGTGAATTTTTTGAAATGCTGATCTGTCCTACATGCAAGCAGGAGGTTTTGACGACATAAAATAAACTAATAAAACAAAAAATAAGGCCATTATTGCTGAGTTGGTTCCAATTCAAAGATACCCTACAGGACAGAGGACAACTGCCCACAAAGTTCCAAAGCTGTAATCTCCATGGAAGCAAACTGCCTCATTTTCTCCCTAAGAGGAGCTGGTGGATTTAAACCACCCACCTTTTAGTTAGCAGCTCAATGCTTCACCCACCGTGCCACGAGGACTTGTGAAAATCTGTAGAGTACTCTACAAATGTTTAGTCTCTGTATACTATTGTATACATATTTTGGTACCTATTTGGTTTTCCTTATATTTTACGTTATAAAACCCAATTCCTTCATATTCACCAATAGTCGTATTGCTCACATTATTCTTGTAAGTATTCTTGTTGATGTCCTAACATAGAATGAATAAGGCATAATAGCTCTATAGTGTGCTTGATTCAGGTCATGGTCTTTTCAAATCACGTGCTAAGCATCTAAAAGTTGGACAGTGAAAAAGGATGACAGAAGAACTGATGCCTTCTTTTATTGTTACGGTGCTGGAGAAGAGCATGGACTACCAAAAGAACAAATAGAAATGTACTGGGAAAAGTACAGCCAGAGTGCTCTTTGGAGGCAAAGAAGGTGAAGCTTCATCTGACATACTCTGGGCATGTTGCTAGAAGATGTTATTTCTTGGAGAGGGACATCATGCTTGGAAGGTGGAGGGCATCGAAAGAGAGGAAATGCCTCAATGAATGGATTGACACGACTGCAGTTATGGACTTGTGTGTCAGAGATTGTGAAGGTGGTATGGGACATGACACGGTTCAGATCTGCTCTTCATGTTGTTGTTGTTGTTATGTGCTGTCGAGTCATTTGCGACTCATAGTGACCCTATGTGCAACAGCCCTAAACCCTGCTCTATCCTGTGCCAATCACATTGCCTCTGACACACCCATCCCAATTACCCCAGTCACTGAATCAATCCACCTCATAGAGGGTCTTCCCCTCCTGCACTGTCCCTCTACTCTACCCAGCATGATGTTCTTCTCTAAAGACCTGTCTCTCCTTACAACATGTCCAAAGTATGTCAGGCGAAGCCCCAGAATCCTTGCCTTCAAGGAGTATAGGGTCATAATTAACTTGACAGCACCTAACAAAACCAGAAATGGCACACACAGGCCATCTCCTGTTATCCATTTGTTACTAATGGGTGATTTATGGCCTTAAACAATAAAAAAAAATCAAACTTGTTTTTACTGAGTTGATTTCAACTCATAGTGATCATATAGGACAGAGTGGAACTGCCCCATAGAGCTTCCAAGGCTGTGCATCTTTACAGAAGCCAACCTCTTTTTCCTGTGGATAGGCTGATTCAGACCATCAACCTTTCAGTTAGTAGCCAAATGCTTTAGGCACAGCACAACCAGGACTCTTTTACCTAAGTGCTTGTATTCTTTTTTTTTTAATTTCTATTTTTTTAATTATTTTTTTGTGCGTGTACCGTCAAATCGGATCTGACTGGTACAGAAGGAGATTGGCCCCCCTTCTGCAGCAAAGCATCGGGTGGATTCGAACCACACCCCTCTGGGATTGCAGTACAGCTTCTTGCCACTAGGCCATGAGAGCTCCCTAGTGCTTGTATTCTTAAGTTTTAAGTTACTAGGTGTCTAAAATGTATAGCATAACTTACAAAGAAAATACATGGAAACAGGATCTCTACTCCTCAAAATCCTAACACAATAATATTCATGCCCTTTTATTTTTATGTTGTTGTTGTTGTTGTGTACTGTAGAGCAGGAACTGACCCATAGCTGATCCTCCAACAGGTTTTCAGAGGCAGCACTGGAGGACAATGCTCTTCTTTCTACTGTAGAGTAGCTGGTGGACGTGAACCACATGCCTTTGGGATGGCAGCACAGTTTCTTACCACTAGGCCACCAGAGCTGAGGTATTATTTCTATTATTTTTTAATAAATGTAAATTTTACTTAGGCTAGGTGAATATAGTATTTAATAATTCTCTCAAAGTATACTGAAAAAAGAAGTGTGAGACAGGTCTCAACAGAAAATGATCAGATATTAATGCTTATAACTTGCTTTTAAACATGTTCCTAGGAGGCAGAAAATAACAGGAGAAAAAACTTTAAAAGTCATAATGTAACGGTTTCTTATGGAACTAAAAAAGTGCTTGTGGGTATCAGTAAGTCTAAAGTATACACAGAGGGGAAAAGAAGGAAAAGGAACATGGCCTTCTGTTTGCAAAGGAAAGAGGTATTTATATGGGCTGTAAATGAATATTAACACTGATTGTTTTAGATGAAACATTTTCCTAGAAAATATGTAAGTAAAAACAAAGGAAGATATTTTTCCCCCAAGAAGATTAAAGTTGTCCATAAGTTCCTCCTTAAAACTCACTAATAACAAACTGTGACTAAAAAGTTTATGAAAGAATAGTTAGGAACAAAATTAGATTAGAATAATGGCTAGGGGTATAAGCTGACAGTATAAGTAATTACTGATTTAAGAGGCATGCTTCAATTTAGCGCCCTTGTAAATCTATGGGGTAGTCAATAGATACTCTTAATAATGAGAACATAAGCAGGGAAAGGCTTCATAACAAACAAGAGGACTGGCAGTCTTTGAAGAGAAGTTTGGTAACACAAGCAGTGCATACTGCTGATAAGAGAGGGGCAAGGATAACACTAAGTTGCAAATATATTGGAAAATGTTAGATGAAGAAAACAAGAAAGACTAACGATTAAAGAAACAAAGCATTGTAGGATGCTGAGGTTGAGGGAATGAATAAAAGGAAAATATGATGAGGGAGAATGCAGTAAAAGAAAAGCATTTTAACAATGGGTCACAAAAGAGAGTAATCTGAAAACAAACAAATCAGTGGATACAATGACACTAAAGTGAAGATCCAAAATAGATGTAAAGAGACATGTTATTCCATAGCTCACTTTAAAAACAAAATAACCAAAACACACAGACAGTAAGTAGTCAAGGCTAATACTCCTTTTCTAAAAGGAAGAATGCCCACTTAAGGAAGACTAATCGCTCTCTGCTGTTACCCTAGAGACCCTAGTTTAATTGGCACATAGTGTGGCCTGAGCATTAGGCTATTTGTTAAAAGCAGTAACTCTCCATGATCCTCTCCCTTCAGCCTTTTTTAATACTAATTTACTTTTATATCCATGCAATTGCCTATTCTAGATAGTACATATAAACAAGATTAAACAATATTTTTCTTTTTGTGTCTGGCTTATTTCACTGAGTATAATTATCTTTGGTTCATCCATGGAGTAGCAAGTATCAGAATCGCATATTTTTATAGCTGCATAATATTGCATTGAATAGACTTACCACATTTTATTTATCCATTCATTTGCTGATAGGTACTTACTTGGGTTGTTTCCATAATTTGGTTATTGTGACTCATAGTTCATTTTATTTTTTCCATAGTTCATTTTAAAATATTATAAATATTAAGTGTACTGTGGACTTCTTTTAAGTTTCTCTCCCCAACAGTATATTCAAGATGTGACTATAAAGTAATGAGACTTAAAAAACCACCAACAAACACACCAGACCTTATATATTTATCATGAGTGTGGTCCTTTGATGTAATCACATCAGGAACAAGGATAGCAAAATCTTATGCTATTATAGCGCCTTATGTTTGACAAATGTTCTAATATTGATTTTCATTACTCTGCTTTACTGTCAACAGCTCTATGTGACAGGTATTTTAAAGATAAACTGAGGCTCAGAGAAGTTAAGTAACTTGTTATAAGTCATGTTTAAAAGTGAAGCAGGACTACACTACACATCCTGACTCCTCAATTAGTGCTCTTTTTAACTACCATGCTGCCTTGCTGTATATTTAATCCAATCATATTGCCATTACTCAGAGTATTTTTGGAAATCCTGTTTTGGAATTACCTCCAGAGCCTGTTCATAAGCAACACAAGAAAGATCAGTCTCATTACCTTATAATCATACCTTGTTTCTGACCCCAAATGGTATCATCTAGCTTGATCACTCACCTTATTCATCAGTCTTGACTCCGAATGACTTTTGGCTGTTCCAAAAATCAAATCCACCCTCAAAGGACGAAGATTTGCCATCAGTGAGGATAATCAAAAGAATGTGTCGCAGACTCTGAAGGCAATGCCAAAAAAGGAGTTCCAAAATATTTTGAGCAATGGCAGCATTGTTGGAATAAGCGTACAGCCTCCCCAGGTAGCTACTTGGAAAGGGATGATACTCACGGGGATATATATGTTCTGGCATGTTTGTCAAAAAGTCATTATTTTATAGTCATATCTTATAAATAACAAAATACTTACAGATGCAGCAAGTTTTCAGTGGGACCACTGCCCTGTTCTAAAACTATGGACCATGGGAATTTTTTAACTTAAAGACTTTAACAGGATAAAGTCTTAGAAGCAGCATTTGTGGACCCAAAACCAAGTGCAAATCCCATCTTTTTATTTATGTAGGGGAAACTGAGAATTGGAAAGATTATTTGACACACCCAGAGTCACACTTGTTTCTGGCAAGACTTGAACTAAAAGAAAGACTTTCTCTGAATTTTTGGACTCACTCTATACTATTTCTAAAAGGGGAGGAGGAGCACAGGTAACTTAATAACTCACAAATGGTGGTGACATTTGAGTAAGGTACTATCATAAGTCAATAAAAGGAACCGAAACTAGTAATTTTGGCATAACTTAAACCTGAGAAATGGATTCTTCTTATACTTTGATTCAGTAATTTAAATCAAACCCACCAGGATAATTATATTCAGAAAGAGCCCCATAATCCATAGGAAATGAAGACCAATAGCAGCCTAAATTAGCCTTCATATAAATGGAAATATCTTATATTCTGACTTTAAGTTTACATATTTAAAGAATATAAACATACATACATACAGATAACTTAACAAGAGCTCACATTTACTCACAAATCAAACCGAAATATCGCTGGACTTTTACCTTTATTGTTATAGACATCTAGGTAATTGGGGGCAGAGAAAATTGTAATGAGTGATGGAAAGCCTGTCGTTTGGCTCTTCCTGTACATTCGATACCTAGAAGAGAGACGGCAGCTGGTCTGTCTAGGTATTAAAAGTGAAAATGTTGCAGTGAATTCTGGAATAGTTTTAATACAACTTACCCAGCATCTTGGGCTTCATGGGCTCGGATAATGGATAACAAATTATTGTTTTGCAAAAATTCACAAACTGCAGGGTAACTGAAAAAGTATTAGAAAACATAAATTCAGAATGAAAATGGTTATTTTTTTAATGGAAAAAAAAGGAAAAGTCAAGATGCCATGAGTTTATTTTGTACCAAAAGGTTTTACACATTATTGACTTTTTATTCATAGATTAGTAATAATTACCCAGTTTTCTATTTTGCTAATATACTGCTTTCTGGACAAAGCATGCAGATAATAATAAATTCTAGTAAAGAAAGAGGATTTGATCATTTTAAATTTTTTTAATTTTAACAATAATAATCCGACACTAAATGTTTTTGTATTTTTACATTACCATCTCACAGTGATGTGTATCGCCATGTGTGTATGTGCTCTTGTTAAGTGCTGTGGAGTCAGCCCCATTCACACTGACCTGAAGGATAACAGAACACACCCTGCCCTGTCCTGTGCCAGCCTCATTATCTCTTCTGTACTTAGCCCACTGTCAGAGTCACCGGTTCAACCTGCCTCCTTGAGGGTCTTCTTTTTTGCTGGCCCTCTAATTTACCAGGCATGACATGCTTTTCCAGGGACCTGCTCCTGAGAACATGCCCAAATTATATGAGACAAAGTTTCACCGTCCTTGCTTCTAAGGAGCATTTTGGCTGCACTTTTTCTAAGACAAATTGCTTTATTTTTTGGCAACTGTAGTGATTATTCCATATCAATATACAGTTTGTTCCCTTTCTCTAAATAGAAAAAAAAAACCCAACCCCAACTTTCTAATATTTTATTGTTTGGATGTCTCACTTTTAATTTGCTTATAATTTTTGAGCATAAATAATGCTACAATGAATAATTTGCATTTTTTTTTTTGCAAATATGTCCATAGGAAGAAGTTTTTTGTTAGTTTGTTTTTCATAGGAAGTTTTTAAAATAAGTGCAAGATATTCTGACTCAAAGGTCTTATACATTTATAAATGAGAGATACTGTCAAGTTAACGGTTGTTGTTGTTGTTATGTGCCATCGAGTTGAGTCACCTGCGGCTCTTAGTGACCCTACGTACAACAGCCCTAAACCCTGCTCTATCATGTGCTAATCTTATTATCTCTGACATATCTACCCTCACAACACCAGTCACTGAATCAATCCATTTCATCAAGGGTCTTCCTCTCTTGCGCAGTCCCTCCACCCTCCTAAGCATGACGTCCCTTTCCAAGGACTGGTCCCTCCTTGCAACATGTCCAAAGTATGTCAAAACAAGCTTCAGAATTCTTGCCTCCAAGGAGCAGCCTGGTCTCACCCTCTCCGGGATGAACCTGGTTGTTCTCCTAGCAGTCCATGGTATATTCAATACTTTTCTCCAGCACCACAGCTCAAAGGCATCAATTCATTCTCCTTTTTTCATCCCTAGTAGACCAGCTTTCTGATGCATAGTTAGTAATTGCAAAGTTAACTACCATAGAAATATCCATTTATATTCTGCTATGACAAACATAAGCTCTGGTGGCTTAGTGGTAAGCCAAACGTTTTACTACATGTTCAAGACATAAAAGTTCCCCAAACACACTATATGTTCAAGATATCAAAGTTCAAATCCATCAGGTGCTCACAGGAGAAAGAAATCTCCCCTTATGCAAATAACTCTCTGACAATCTGCCATAGGGGCAGTGATGAGTCAGTTCTGACTCGGTGGTTTATAACACACAATGACAAATACAGTGATCACAACAATGGATCTGATCATGGCAGAGAGCATGAGAATGGCACAGGACAGGGTAGGGTTTTGATCGTTCTTCACAATATTCCTGGGAGTCATAGCTCATTTGAGAGCATGTAACATCAAAACATGATAAACAGGCATAGTCTCTTTAAATAATGTAGACAAAACCTTAAATTATTGCATCGTTTTACTTACTTGCAAAATAGTCAAAGGGGAAAAAAAGAAAATAAAAAAAAAGAAAAAAAACAGTCACTGGGGAAAAGTGTGCTTAGAAGACTGGTGATAAATATAGAGTTTCTTTGTGTGTGTTTCATATTCTATTTAATGGCTGAATGAATTGCACCACAGCCAATTTTGGAAAGAATAAATGCTTTTATTACTTGTCAGAATAAAATATTGGAAGAAAAAAAAATCTAGACTTTAAAGCCAGGAAAAGACACCACCAAAATAGAAAACTATAGGCCAATATCTCTCATGAATATTGATGCAAAAATCCTAAATAAAATAGTGGCAAATAGAATCCAATGATACATAAAAAAAAAATCCACCATGACCAAGTGGGATTCATAACAGGTATGCAAGGATGGTTCAACATAAGGAAA